GATCATTATATGGTCCAAATTAAATCTATATAAGGTTTTAATAAAATTATATTTATTGGAATCTTTATTAAGTATTATATTAAATTTTAATAAAATTTATATTTAATTATATTAAATCGATATATATTTTTTTTTCACGGGATAAAATGTAAAATATCTCGTAAACTATTGGTTTTTTAGTATCTCTACCTTAATACTTTTATATGCAAAATAATTAGAGGAATCACGTTATTTAAAAAAAATTACATAATTCTATTTAAAAATTAAAGGTGACCTTCACGTAACCTTCAGAGGACTATCAAAGGTCAAATAGATGGCACCATCTTATGTACCCCTTCGAGTCAAACAACTTTTGTCTGAAACATTTTTTCGATAAACGCCTTCTTTTTGAAATAATCACGTGGAAATTTTAAAATGGGACACTCTGTATATTAAAATATATTACAATATTAAAATGTGTATATTAACTTTTAGATGAATTTAGTAGAGTATTATATAACAGAAACTACCGATCATTATGGTTGATCTCAATGCACTGAAGCAGTTCGATAATTGTCGACACACTTGATGCGAACATACATTATAGAAACAAACACGATTTTGTGAAAAAAATTGCCAATTTTATTTTTAACATATATATAGAACAAATATGTAATTGCTTAACAATTGAAACACTACATAAAAAGTTCGTGTCGTTAGCGTTTAAACTTGACAAAATCTTCGTATTGCAAGAATAATGCTTCGCGATAATCGGACATACCGTGGCCGCAACATTGGTATTTATGGAAATAATGTTAAAATACATGTTTTTATAGTATTATCCACAGAAATTGATACAAAACTAAATGAAGAATCACTTTATAAAGAATGAATAAATTTTTTTTCATGCATAGAAACGAGGGTTAGTCGATGTCACGTCCAGATTCGCGAGGAGGAACGCGTCAGACGCGGTGTGAAATCGTTCGTTGGAAAAGATATTATTCGGCAAGCCATCATGGTAAGCAATGTTTTAATTAAATGAGAGCTTCGATCAGCGAGAAAGAGAGACTACGGACCGAGCGGAAACGCGCATCTACTACTCCTACTCAATCGGTCGTCCTCATTGCGTGACGTGAAAATATTTCTCGATATACCGAGTTGATGAGAGATAACTTAATAGAAATAATTACCGCCGTGTATGGTTATCGCGACTATCGGCAGACAGTAAGTAAAAACACAAAAAAAAAAGGAAATGTGGCGCAACGCCGATGCTACTCTGTCTACGAATTCTGTGGTAAATAAAATAGAATGTAGTAACTAAATGTATTCTTATTTACGCTGTGACCGCTAATCGCGCAAATCTTAATTATAAGAGAAAAAGATGAATAGAGAGGAAAAAGGAAAAGGGGGGGTGGTGAGAAGTGCTCTAACGTTAACGACACAGATATTTTTTGTAGGTGCGATAGGAACGGGAAGAGTTGATCTTATTAGGCGCGCTATCCAGGATGCCGCCGCGTGTCGCAGCGGACACACAAAAGGACAAGATAAGAAAAGTAAAAAAAAAATTCTAATTCATTAACGTTCTATTATTGAGTTTAATACTGTTATATTTAAATAAAAGGTGAAAGAACCGCACAAAAGAACCGCACGCCGAAGAGACTGTAAAACCAATAACTTGAGTCCGCGATCACTTATGAAGCAAAAAAGAAATGAAGCGGATTTCTTATACGCATTCGAACAATATTACAACGCGATTTCACTGAAAAATAAATAATATATCTACTGTTAATGACTAACGTAGCTATATGAAACTTTGCGCAAAGACTATTGATAACTTTATAATGCGTTTCTATGAACAAAGAAAAATATTTCCGCGAGAGAGCGATCAAGAGATATTCGAACTTTACTGCTATGAAATAGAATGAAAAATGAACAATGAACTTAGGCGCGCATGAGTATTGTAGTATTATAATGATGAGAAATAGAACGAGAATGATCGCGAGCGCTGGTTTGCCGCCTGTTAATATAGGGCCAGCTTGGTGATTGCGGCGTGCGAAAACGACGAATTTCCCTGAAAGATGAACAATAAATAATTTTCTTAACTTTCAGTTTCTCAGCAATTAGTAATCGCATCGATCTGAGATTTGGTATAATCGTAGATTGATTTTATCGAACGCATGCTATCTAGTCGGTTAATCGCTAGCAAGTAAGGAGGCGCGGGTACATGCCGTATTCCAGAGTACAAGTTTTTCATTATAGAGTTTCGGCGTACCTGTCATCGCGGAATCAGATCGTAGCGCGATAACAGCGTGCTCTCGCGTCCAACACATTATTTTCGCTGGTAGTATTTCGTAGTGATTTCCGCATGAAAAATAGATTATTTAACATAAATCGGCTCGGAGACAACAACGTGATTGCAATCTTATTTCTAGCATCAGTTTTT